TCCAGCCACGGGCTCCACGTATGCTTGTGCTACAAAACACTCTGAATTTATTATTTGCCTGCAGGCTCCTTCAGGAGAGAAATCCTAATTTTTCCTTTGGTAAAACTGCTCATTTTGGAGAAAAATCAGATCTTTTTTTTTTTCCACACCTAGAGAAAAGGTCCTGCTGCTGCACCTGAGCGTGTTAAGTCTCAAAGCCCTGTCTGGAAGCAACAGCAATGCTTTGTAACCTCGTACCCCTCCAGATGAGCCTGCTGCTCCCTTGTGACCAAGCACATGGCTCGGAGGGACGTATCCTGTCCTCTTCCTTATGTCACGGCTGTTTGCAGGGGTACCGTGGGGCTCACCGCTACTGTTGCACCCGACAGCAAAGCCCAGTTCCCCCAGAGCATCACCGCAGCCGGATCCAGGCTGGTGGTACCCCAGCAGAGCCGGTGACGGAGGAGACCCTCCCCTCTCATCCCTCGGCAGGGACCCAGTTTGAGTGGGGTGAGCGCCGGTGTTCCGCAGAGTCGGACACGTACGGTTGAGTCCAGCGGGGGCTCTGGCAGCGGTGCTGGGCTGCAGGGGGGCTGCCAGTATCTCCGGATTCATGGCGACGCTGGTTACGCCACTCTCGCTTCTCTCCGGTCCACACAAGCCAGGCAGCTGAGCTGCCTTGTCCAGCGAGGGCAGGAGCTGGTCCAGCTGCTCCAGTTCGGCAGCAAACTAAGGAAAAGGCAAAAAAAAAAGATAAATCCCAGGTGGGTGATTTAGCCCAAACGCAGCATCGGCGAGACTGAGCGCTGCCCTTTGCTTGCCGAAACGCCAAGCATCTGGTGTGGGTGGAGAAGCAGCCTCCGTCCTTCTGCCTGGCCAGACATTTGGGGGGGGATACGGACAGTCCCCCACCACCGTGCATGGGTCCCCACCCCGGAGCCTGATCCTTGGCAGCAGCTTTGAGATGCTGGCAAGCTGCAATTAGCATAATTATCAATGGTATATATAACCTCCAGCTATTTAAACCGGGAGATAATTTGCTTTGTTAATATACATATGCTTACGCTGAAATTATAATAATAAAAAAACGGTCTGTTTTAAGAAACAGAAGTGATTTTTTGGAACAAGTGTCCAAAGGCACCGCTGGCCTTGGGCGTGTAATTACCCTCAATGGGGTAGTAAAATATCACTCAGCTTTTCCAGCCTCCATCAGTGTAAAGGGTGGAAGAGTAGATGTTTAGCCCAAGGACTCAAATAAATGGGAGAGTTACTGGGAAAGGGATTTGCACCCGTGGCTGTAACAGCGGTGGGTTGGGATTAAAGAGGCTGAGATAAACGAGCTTTGGCTAAAAAGAAAAATATCTCTTGGGAAGGTAAATGCTTTAAAATCTAAGGACGCATCCCGCTTCCAGAAGAGCCACCCTTCAGCGTTAGGAAAAGCCCGACCATTAAGACAGGGTAATCAAGAGATGACTTGATAGTAGTAGGGGAAATCTTGGCATTTGATGGAGGGAATGAGGCTCCGGTTTGGAGAAGATGGAGAAATCTGGCAGGAATTGGGATCCTGGCTTCGATGAGAGGCTCTGCCATCAGCCGAGACGTGAGACTGCAGCCAACAGCCACTGCTGGGGATAAACTGGGGGGAGGCTGCTCGTTTTGGGCAGCCCTGGGACGCCTCGGCCCATCCCTGCTGGATGGAGCAGCATTGAAGATCTCTCAGCGAGGTGACAGCTTTGTGCCTTGCCAGAAGAAATCATGGGAAGTTTCTTCCTAAATCCTAGCTGGAAATATTCCATATCTCAGATAAAATCCTCCAAACCAGTGGCAATCCCCAGCACCACTGCGGCTGGTTCCAGTGTCACCTCCATGGCACATCACGACGACAAAGCCACCGTGGAAGGCTGGACCTTGGGATGGACCCTCTGACAATGGTGGCTCCATCAAACCCACGATCTTAGTCCTGCATCCGAGACCCAACAGACCCCACTCACGCTCCCCACCATGGCCGAGATGTCCTTCTTCACCTTCACTGCTCTTTTTCCCCCCCTTCCTTTCAGCCTCATGGAGCCCCTGGATAAATGAATCGTTATTTTTAATACACGTGCCAGAGCACGCGCTTTTTTTCCGCCATTACAGTAGCGTTTTGTGAATGAAATGATGTTTAGACAACACTGGTGATGAAAAGTGCCCTGTGAGCAGCAGGCACCAATATTACAATTTATAATGGGCTAATGAATATTCTTCTTTTTCCCCGTATCTTCTCCATCAAATCCTAACCCCCGAGCCCCGAGAAGCGAAATATCCCCCTAAACCCCGGCTCATGGGGACAATTAAATGCAGCAGATTCAACTCCTGTAGCCAGCTGCACGTCTCAACTCTTCCAAACAACGTAATTTCTTGACTGAGCAGAGTTTTGTTAAAGCTCAAGTTTGCAAATCAAAAAGAACTGAATCAAATGGGAGACATTCACGATACGGCTGAAATACGTCGCCCTCAACTCCATCTCCTGCTGCGAGGAGGTCATTTTGGAAGTGGAGGGAGTAGAAGGCCACAAAGGGAGCTGTCGGCATCCAGAAGGGACGTTCAGAGGAGAGAAAATGAGAGTGGTGAAGTTCTTGCGTTGCTTGTTGGGTACGTGAAAAGGTTGGAGGATGGAGAGGTGGGAACAGAGGGTGGGTGGTGGGAGCAGGGTACTTATCAGATGTTTTCTGGAGCACCCGAACTTGCACCTGGAATCTGCGCCCACTTTAATGGGTATTTTATTTCTCCTCCATGTCTAGAAAATGCACAGTGCTGGAGGGCTGGAGAAGCTGAGGCCATCCAGTCTGCTACTGAGAGGAAGCTCAGACCTCCACGATCTATTTCTGTCCCCAAATGGGTGAGAAAACCCAAGGTGCGAGGGATGGACACAATGGGTGGCTGAATATTTCTAAACAGCTTCTTCTTCCCCAAACCTCCGGCTCCCGGCACAAAGAAGGTTCCAAACCCAAAGCCAACGAAAAGGCAAACCAAAGGACACCATCTCATCCTGCCCTTCATCCCTCACCTAGCCAGCCTGTACGATGCCCCATGCGTGAAATCAGCTTGGTGAGGAGGTTGGAGATGCTCTAGGTGGTACCCAACCAGCAAACCTTCATCCCTAAGTGGACCTTCATATGGAGTGGAGGCACTTCTCCTCCCAGGCCACTTGGGCAAGGAAATACTTGCACAAATTAAATAATCCTGCAATTTTATTGCAAGCTTCAGATTATTTGATTTTCTGTGGAACCCTGGTTCCTGAAGGCAGCTATTTCCATAAGGATCTCTGTCTCTCTCTCATCACTCCTCTGTTTTTCTTCTTTTCGAGGAAAGGATACTATCCTGCTTGCAAAACCAAACTGAAATGTAGATTCAGACCAAAAAGTGAACAAAAAAGAAGGTAAAACTATTTTTCTTAAAATCAGAGAATGGTTTGGGTTGGAAGGGACCTTTAAAGGTCACCTAGTCCAATCCCCCTGCAATGGGCAGGGACACCTTCCACTAGATCGGGTTACTCAAGGCCTCATCCAACCTGACCGTGAAGACTTCCAATGATGGGTCAGCCATGACTTCTCTTTGGAATCCTCCTCCATGTGTGTGGACGGTGGAGAGAGCTGAATGCTCCCGGGTGCAGGCAGTGCTCCAGCTCCCCACCATCCTGCTCAAGGGCAGATTTAAGACAATGTGACCTGACAGAAAGTTTCCTCTTCACCTAGTTGAAGTTCAGCTCATGTCTTGAAGCAGAAGGATGAAGAGTCCTTCCAAAACCTTGCTAATCCTTCTCCTTTCATTTCTTTAACTCTTGGAACTCTTATCAGCTCTTTCCCAAGCCCTACTCAAACATTTTTTGTTCTCACCCCACGAACAAGCGGCTCCAACCAAATCCGGGGTGTTTCCATTGGATAAATCCAGAAAGGAAATCATTCTTTCAAGGCTGAAGGCAAGCTGCAGAGCATGCCCCACAATTAATACCGCTCCTAACTGACATTTTGTTTCTTAATAAATAATCACACGCGAAAACAAAAACCTAGCAAATGCCTGACCTCCTCTTGCCTCACCAAAGCAGCCTGTAACAGAAAACACGCGGAAACAAAACTCTGTCCTTAGGTGCTGAGCAGCAGAGGGTTGTTCGCTCCTCAGAAAATCCGTTTTAAGACTCTGCAAACCCTCTCCAGCCTCTTTTATTAACTCTTTGGAAGCCCTCGATATGGTCCAACATATAATCTTGATGCTCTCCAGCTGCCTGGGGAGGGATACTTGGAACTGAAAAGCCACGAAGGAGCCTAAAAATGCTCAGCTGCTTCCAGCAGCGCAGGAGAGGGGCTTATAAACACATCCAGGCTGGAGTCAGCCAAGCTCTGTGCGCCTGTTTGTAAGCAGAGTGCAATTAGCTAGCAGAGCCTCGTTTAATTAATAGGGCTTTCTGTCCTCTCCGAAGGATGGAGTACCTGGAACCATCACTGATGGTCAGCAAAGCGTTTACCCGCATCCCTGGCTGGTGACTGAATCCTGCACATGGACGGGTGGGAGATCGGGCAAGCGAAGTTCTTCCCGTGCCCCGGCATTTTACCTAATATCAGCTACAGTCACGCTCCTCGACATGCTCCCTGCTCCATGGAAGGTTGGGGTGGCTCCATCCAAGAGCCCGTGCATCTCCTGGCAGGACACTGTACCTTCTGCAGGAGGACCGCAGTGGGGACCCAACTCTACGGCAGGTTCATTGCCCACCTGCAAGCTCCCCTGTACCTCCCAAAATAAACACATCTTCACTTGGCTCTTCCTAATCCGAAGCCAATTTACATTAAGCTAGACGACGGCTCTCAAACGGGAAATGACGCAGGAGGATGGACCATCCAGCCAACTGATGACACCAGGAAAATACATTGTAGAAAGAGATAAGGAGTATGATTCCTGCTCGCCTATAGGATAACCGACCGCCGCTCCCAACCCAACTGAGCCCTTAACCTTATTAAGAGCCTTATTGTGCGTTTGTCATCGGAGGCTCTCCGAGCGCTCTGTTCCTCATCCCGTAGCTCCAAAAGCCGCCGGCCTTATTTGCAGCAGGCGATCAGCCCCACGCTTTATGTCAGCCGCTTCTCTTCTCTTTGCTTAAAAAGGATTAAGCAGCCTTATCCGTGTTACCATCTCCCCTGGCTTTCGAAAAGAAGAAATCTCTTCTATTCATAGCCGCGTGTAATGAATATTTATACACCCAAATCTCTCTGGCAGAGATCTGTCACTGGATTATTCAATTTAATAAGACTTTTAGGATAACTAAAAGGCCTGTATAATTGCTAAGCTCTGCCAACAAGAGGGCAAGGGATTGAAAATTCCCTGGGACATGAGCCCTGAATGAGCCCAGAGATGCAAAATTAAGAACCTTTTCGCATGGCGACACGCACATGGTCTTCTCCTTGCTCAAGCCCACCACCTGCAGCCGTGTGCCAGGCTTCTTTCTTATTTTCATGCACCTCGGTAAAATTTCCCCCCTCCCTTCCCACCATTGCCTTGAAGATCTGAGCTACCAAAATGTGAAGCATCTGGAAAAAAAGGGGATAGCACTGGTGCTGGAGAGGGTGGCATCAGTGCTGGAGAAGGTGACACCAGCACTGGAGGAGGTGGCACCAGCACTGGAGGAGGTGGCACCAGCGCTGCAGAAAGTGGCACCAGTGCTGGAGAAGGTGGTACCAGTGCTGGAAAAGGTGGTACCAGTGCTAGAGAAGGCGGCATCAGCGCTAGAGAAGGTTGCACCAGCGCTGGAGAAAGAGGTAGCACCAGCACAGAAGGTTGTGGCAACCACAGGATATCTCGCGATGCTTCTCACCTTGCTGTGGAGGGATCACACCTGCAGGTTTGATGGAAACTGCCCCAAAACCACAACTTGTCAAGAGCATCCCACCAGCACAGATGCAGATGAGTCAACTCACCTGGCCCTGAGTCTCCAGCTTGACCTCCTCCGTGGCAGGAGGTTTGGCGAGTGGCACTGGGGCTGTGTTACAGGGCTCCATCTGCTCTGTCTTCTCCACCTTCACCTTCACATCGTCCAGGCTCAACGCAGGGGCTGCAGCAAGCTCCTTCTCATCCTTGTCCAGCAGATAGCGCAGGAGCTGATGATCCTTGACATCTTTTTTCTTCAGAGCTTCCTGCTCCAGTTTGATGTCCGGGGTGCCTGGCAGCTGGCTCTGAGCCGTGGGGGTGGTGGTGGGGTTCGGGGGGTTCTCCTTCTTCTCATGCTCCATGCCCAGGGTAGTAATATCGGAAGGGCTGCCCTCCTGAAGGAGTCTATGCAAAATCTTGTGCCGCTCAGTCAGTGAGCTGTGGGAGGAAGGGCAGGTGCTGCTGGGAGGGTTGTTGGAGGCCAAGGTGCCAGCGGTGCCGGCAGTGCTGGCAC